TTTGGATAGTGCGTGTCTAACCTTGGCCTCACTACATCAGCCCCACGCCAGGTGAGTCGTGATGGACTTTCATCATCAAATGGGTCCTAACTGATTTTTCCAATCCTACGACCTGTTCATTTCGAATATTAAGTAGATGATTTCCATAATTATTTATTCACAAGTCAACTTATGCCAGCCTCGAAAGAAAGCAACTTCATTACAGACTAAGTTAATTATCAAGCGTAGTCCATATGTGACATCTAACCATAAGGTTTAGACCAATGATAACTATAAAATGTCCCCCACATTCAACACCAAATCAGCAACAATAAACATGTCTTCTTTGCGCTTCTTAGTTCAACTGATTGTCCTAGGTTTTGCTTTTAATCTTGCAGATGGACAAGGTTTGAAAGTAGGGTTTTACCAAAAAACATGTCCAGATCTTGAATCTAAAGTCAAAGAGGTCGTAGATCAAGTGATCTCAGTGGCACCTAGTCTTGCAGCTCCTTTGCTAAGAATGCATTTTCATGATTGTTTCATTAGGGTACGTAATTTCTTATTTTTATGACTAATTTTTTTCTAGTCTTGTCCCAATTCCAGGCAAAAGCTCTAGTTTATAACATGAATCTTAGTACACATGACATGTGTTGAGAATCTTAGTTACTTTACATCATTAGCTAGTTATAGCAACGAACTGATCTTGAAGTAACAGAAAAAGGATTTATTTAGCAGGCTACATTTTTGTGCAGGGCTGTGATGGATCAGTGCTGTTGGAGTCTCCAACCAATCAATCTGAAAAATATGCTTTTCCAAATCTAAGCCTGAGAGGATTTCAAATAATAGACAAAGTTAAGACTGCAGTAGAAAAGGCATGCCCCATGGTGGTTTCATGTGCTGACATATTAGCACTAGTAGCTAGGGATGTTACTGTCGCGGTAATTTTATTATTTATTTATTTTCTAGTTTTATATATAACTCAACATGTTGATAATTAATTATGTTGAATCATCAGATAAAAGGACCCTTTTGGGAAGTTGAAACTGGACGAAGGGATGGAAGAGTGTCTATTTTGAATGAAGCCTTGACAGGATTAATACCACCTTCTGCGAACATTAGTATTTTAAAACAAGGATTTCAGCAGAGGGGTTTAAGTGTCAAGGATCTTGTAGTGTTATCAGGTACCATTAAAATTTTGAGATTATGCATGCCAACTATACCTACGATGAGTCCTTATTCTGTTATATATATTTAATATTAATTATGCTAAGAAACAAGAATCACAATTATAGATTAATAGTTTAAGAGATGTACCAGCGGAAGACATCCTGAAAACAAATATTAGTGCTACATCTTCCTCTCCTTACTTCTCACCAAAATATTAGCTGTTAATGGGGTAAGCCAATAAAAGGAGAGATGACCTAACCTCTTATATAGAAACTTATTGAGCCGTCCCATTAACGACTCCAACCCCAATTAAGGTTTAAATATTTCTGGCCCACATACTTAAATTACCACATGATATAGGACATAATCTTATCAAGTGATCACTCGACATATTGAGCTTAATCATAATATCGTTATGAGCTATATATCTAGCCCGTTTTATAAAGCACAAAATTTACAATCAAATGAAAAGCCCATATTTTGAAATTATTCTAATATTCTCCCACTTAGAAGAACATTTGATTGTTACTCTATAACAAAACAAAAATTTTAGCTCTCAGATTAAATTATGGATGACAACAAATTGAATCAAAACTCGAGGCTCAG